GTGCAGGATTTTGTTTTTATGAGCACAGGATATGATCAATAATTGTTGAATAGCAGCAAAGCGACATTAATACGCAAATCCCACCGCCCTTGTCGCTTTTTGCTGACCATGAGCTATAAAATTTTATAGCGTTGTAAAATATGTATTGCTGACGTATATATATATATTTAATAAATTAATAAATTAATTAAACATGATGATAATACGATGTACATTAATACGGCAATGACTAATAAAACGGTCGTCGCCATAAGCAAGGTCATATGTGACTATTAGAAGTGAACGGTCACTAAACTCGAAGCTAGAATTCAACAATACTCGTAAAACTATTTATACCTACTAGTTTTCGTGAAATTATCAAAATCGGTTTTAATTATTACTGGTGGTAGGACCTCTTGTGAGTCCGCACGGATAGGTACCACCGCCCCGCCTATTTCTGCCGTGAAGCAGTAATGCGTTTCGGTTTGAAGGGTGGGGCAGCCGTTGTGACTATACTGAGACCTTAGAACTATATCTCAAGGTGTGTGGCGCATTTACGTTGTAGATGTCTATGGGCTCCAGTAACCACTTAACACCAGGTGCGCTGTGAGATCGTCCACACATCTATGCAATAAAATAAAAAAAAAATCGGACCATAATCATTGACACATTAAGATTTACATGCATTTTGTACATTATGATTTCTCTATTATTATTTTTTTATTATGATTTTGAAAAAGAAAACTGATTATTCGTTTTTATTTTATTTAAATCACTGTATCTCACCAGTGAGCTACTAAATAAAACAAAAAGAATACTATAGTCAGTTGAAAGATAGTATTATCTATCTTCACTGTGTTATCCTGGCATGTTTAAATATAGATTGTGTTGTGTGTAGATTCAAAAATATAGTTTTTGTACAAAAATATAGTGAAGGATAAATGTAGACGCTTTCACTCTATCCCCGTACCTGTATTAAGAGCTTCTCAAAATCAGGCTCTACCAGGACTAAAAAATTGTACAAATATTATTTTTAAGTAATTAAACTTCACTTGGGCAACTCTCGGAATTCTTCTATTTTACTAATATTCGTATCACATATAATCTTCATATAAAAAAATTGCTGTTCGTTAGTCTCGCTAAAACTCGAGAGCGGCTGCACCGATTTGGCTAATTTTAGTCTTGAATTATTTGAGGTAGTCCGTCCAGAGAAGGTTTAAAAAGTAGATAAATATGAAAATGCTCGGAATTAAATAAAAATAACAATTTTGTTTTCCCTTTGATGTGTCCCCCGTCGGACGGATTTCTTTGTTTGTTTTAAGTTTATTTTATACAAAAGTTTAGGTCTTTTATTTATCGATTAATGCACTACGAAGTCTGCCGGGTCAGCTAGTAGTAAACATTTTAGATGCTATAAAATACTATACAATTAATTGTAAATCTATTATCAACAGTAACTAGGCTTGACTGTTTTTTGTAATAAACTTCTCTTTTAAAACAAATTAAGTGTAGTTGATGCAACATCCTATGTTTTGCTACTAAAAATAGAATCTAGTACCCATAACCAGTCCACGTAATCAAGTAGTTAATGCGATTACACTCTCGGGGCCCATAAATGGCATTTCTTGGCATAAAATTAAATATCCAAGATAAACTAAATATGAAAGTGCATTTTCTAACATAATCTTATGAGTCTTAAGTAAAATAATAGTTGGATAGATAAGCAATTGGTGTTAATATATAATACATAAATGCTAAAATTCGATTATAAAGTTTTTTTAGATGTGATAAAAGATTTTTTTTTTATTGCTTAGATGTGTGGACGAGCTCACAGCCTACCTGGTGTTAAGTGGTTACTGGAGCCCATAGATATCTAGAATGTAAATGCGCCACCCACCTTGAGATATAAGTTTTTCTTTTTCAGTTGCACGAATTGTTCCGTTCTAAATTAAATTTTATTATAATACAAAAACTGTAGATAAACTTCTAAGCCAAAAATAGTAGATACACTTCTATGTACTTACCACGCAGTATGTATAATATTTCATTTCACATTTAAAGTATGCATTTTTAAAGGTTAAACGCAAAAGTATCGTTTGTTGAAAAACATTTAGATACATTTTTACTAATTTTCTTTGCTCTATGTTCTGTTTTCTATACGATGGCATTCACGTGATCTCGCCTACACATCTGAGCTGATAAAAAACAATTGTTTTTTGAGATAAGTAAGATAAGTAGATTTCAGATAAGTAGTTTTTGTATAGCCTAGGGCAAATAAATTAACTCACCACCCACATTGAGAAAGATAATATCGTAGGCCACATCGTATTTCACGAAAGCGTCCATAACACAATGTTCGCCTCTCATAACGCTGTTTGCATATTCAAAATTTATGAGCATATAGACGTGTAATGTATATCAGAGAAAAAGAACATAAAACGCATCCTTTATTTCATATAATAAAAAATATTTAAATCTTATACTTTTAAACGAGCAATTCTTCTAGGTATATTAATATATATGTATATAATCTGACTCTCGGAAACGGCTCCAACGATTTTCATAAAATTTAGTATTCAGGGGATTTTGGGGGCGATAAATCGATCTAGCTACGATTTCTTTTCAGAAAATGTTGTTTTATTCGTGTTTTCAATAATCAACTCGTCCCGACATCTATTGGTGAATAATAATACTATTTTTCTTAATTGAGGGCAACTAACCACTTTAAAGACAACAAGATGGCGTTATCAAAAAAAACAGAGCAAAGCTCGGTCATCATCTAGTTAGTCTATATACGTGAAACAATCTGTAAATTGAAATAACAATTTAACACATCGAAAAATTTCAACAAGGGCTTAGTTTTTTGCGGATTTATCTTTATACATGAAGCAAAAACTTAGTACCCCTTTTTACGAAAATTGCGCGGACGGAGGAATATGAAATTTCCGACACTTATGGATTATATAGAGAATGAGTGCAGAATGTTAATATTTTTTTAATTATGCATAAAAAATACATTAAATCACTAAATAAAACCATTACAAACACTACCATGTATGTATTTGTTACACACACGCATGCATACTATTTGTTTATTGTCAAACTTTTCTTATTGATTATAATCTGTGGTCAAATTAAGAATAGATTAAATATTGTTTGTCTTTATTAATATTTACCTAAAGCGTACGTAGTCTTGACGAAATCTGTGAATGTAGAAGTATAATAGTCTTTGATAGAATTATAATAGTGTACAAATTTATAATTTCAATTAATTATAGTCGAATTTCGACAACCGGGGGACCACTAAGTAGTTATGTAATAATACTTAACCGTTTAAACAAAGGTATGCATGTCAAAACATAATAACTGAGATTCGATTTCTATCTATTATTTCTATGACTGAAGCATGTAGTGACGTCATTCACACATTCGGAAGCATGCCCCTGGCGAACGGGAGAGTCGTTCGAGACGGGTCTAAAGACAAATACTGACTATCGGCAAAATCATATTATAGCCTCGATATAATATCAGATGTTTGTTTATTCGGATACATACCTACTGATCTTGATACGTAATGTAATATTTCGCGTGAATTGTATTTCGAGATAAGAGAATTATTTTGGTGACAGTGTCGTATGTTCACTGGTGGTAGGACCTCTCATGAGTCCGCACCGGTAGGTACCACCACCCTGCCTATTTCTGCCGTGAAGCAGTAATGCGTTTCGGTTTGAAGGGTGAGGTGGCCATTGTAACTATACTGAGACCTTAGAACTCATATCTCAAGGTGGATGGCGGCATTTACGCCATAGATGTCTATGGGCTCCAGTAACCACATAAAACCAGGTGGGCTGTGAGCTCATCCACCCACCTCAGCAATAAAAAATAAAAATGTTCGTTTTGTAGTTTAAAATGTCCTAAACCGCGATATTCTATGTGATATTTTTTTTTGTTTCCCTCTTCGTGTATCGTTGTTCCGATTCACCCAGAAAAACATAATTATATTATAATACATTTGCGTGTCATTTCAAAGAATCCAACAAATCACCCAAGCTTTTTTTTTAAATACATTTTCAGTTTTGTTACTCAAACAATAACTTATTAAGCAAAACCTTTCTTGATAATCCTCAGTAATAAGATGTCTTCAACAAAGAAAATCATAACGTAGAATCCTCAAGGGCTAAACAGTGACATCACTCGTTTAAAAGTAGGTACAAATAAATTTTCAACCCATCCGTTTCAATAAAACTCAAATTATTATCAGACTTGAGATCAAGCCTCATTTCCTTTGAGGGAAAGTCTTTGTTGATCCTTTTCTTGTTATTTTCAACGAACAGATATTATTGCAGTTGATGGTTCCGAAGATTTGCGGGAAAATTATAATGAAGCTTTCCTTTGGATAAGATATTTTGGGTTACATTTTATTGTCCGTTACATTTTCGGGTGAAGCATTAAGTTATAAAAAAAAAAAAAACGAGTCCATTGTATTTAAGAAACGTTTTGTGTTCATTCAAGTGTAAACAATTAGAAAATTCTTCTATATTACGATTTAAATTTGGAATACCTTACCTTTAACGCGCTTAATTTTTATTTACTCAAACTTTGGTCCTTTACTCTTATTTTAGTTCCCATGATATCACCACATTAGAAATGGAAATTACTGCGGTAGAAACATCGACGGTCTCGACAGTTCGTGCGAGACTTAGCCACTAGACAAATTTGAATTGGTCAAATTTTGCTCGATGTTTCAAGGACTTGCCGTGGAAATAATAATAACAATTTTTCGGTAGACAGCGGCTTGGCTCTGCCCCTGGCATTGCTGAAGTCCATGGGCGACGGTGATCACTCACTATCATGTGGGCCGTATGCTCGTCTGCCAAGAAGACAAATAAAAAAAATTAAAAAAAAAGGCCTCTGTATGTCTATCGTTGTGGTCCATAGATTCATTTACGTATTCGGTAACAGTAAAAACTGTAATGTAACAGTAATGTTCGGCTTATTAACAACCGTTTCAATTGTTCCAGACATTACATCGAGGGACACATGTTTTCAACGTCGACGAAGGCGGCCTGGTGGCTGGCTACATTTTTTAGTGTATTAGTGACAGGTATTTTCTTATTAAATATTATTATTTTATTCAAAATATCTTAACGTGAGACATCATCATCATCATGATGATGATCATCACATCATCATCATCATATCATCACCACATCATGATGAAGATGATGATGCTGATGATGTGGTGATGATGATGGCCTGGTGGCTGGCTCCATTTTTAGTGTATTAGTGACAGATATTTTATTATTAAAATTTTTATTATTTTATTCAAAATATCTTAACGTGAGATATCATCATCATCATCATCATGATCATCACATCATCATCATCATCACATCATCACCACATCATGATGATGATAATGATAATGATGATGTGGTGATGATGATGGCCTGGTGGCTGGCTACATTTTTTAGTGTATTAGTGACAGATATTTTTCTTATAAAATATTATTATTTTATTCAAAATATTTTAGACCGAGACACACAAACAAAAAAATATGACGTCGTATTTTCGAGGCTTAAATCCAATGACAGATACGAATTTTCGTAATGTAGGTACCTTAAAACGTGTTCACGAACGAATTCCGCGACGAAGGATAAACGTCGTGTAGTTAATAAAAATTATCCAACGAACAACAACATTTAAAAAACCAGAGATTGCTTCTTCTGTTTGGTTAAGTTGATTGTGGATTATATTTAGAATTGAAATAACTCATGCTTTGTTTATTTTACTATACTTTTACCATAACATTAGATGCAATAACATAAGATATGATTTGGTCAATGGTGTTTGAATTTCCTATACTCATTGATTAATCAAGCAAATCGTCGTTGCTTACTTTTCTTGTATAAAATATGTTTTTCCTGTGTCCAATAAACATAAATTAATAATTATATTATCCAGCATGAATAGTCCAACAGTAACATAAGCCAGCAGTTTGTATTAAACTTGTTTATAATGAAGATCCTCTTATCTTACTTTCTATTCTCAACATTCCTAACCTACAAAACTATGGCAAATGTTTGCATGATTAACAAAGCAAAACGTATTAACCCTTATATTAGCAGAGTTAACCCTTCTCAGGTAAATCCAAGGGTCACTGCTTCAACATTACCTTACCTTACATTCACGAAGCCTACTACGGCTGATAAGTATATTACGTGTTAGATTGGTTGGCTTGTGCATACCGGAATTAGATAGTAGCAAATATGATAATATATGTAGCTGATATTTGATATAAGTGAAACGTAAAATTCTAGAAATATCTTTTATCGATAAACGGACGGTAGTTAGCACTATATTTGTAATGTAGACCAAGGGCTCCCAAACTTATTTTGTCTACTGCCCACTTTGAGAATAAATTATTTTTTAGCGCCCCCATTTTTTCACATACCTAAAAACAACTATAGTGAGAGTTTAGTCGGTGTCTAAGAGTCCTCTTAGAATTCCTCTTAGAAATTACAAATCACCGCCCAAGCTTCTGCACAACGCTCCCTTTTTTTCTGGATCTGTTACCGCCTCCTTTAGGCCTGCAGCACCCACAGGGGGACGTTATCGTCCACTTTTGGAAAGGCTGATAGTAGACGAATAACACCTCAGTCGACCTTGGCTATAACTGCCAAGTAGCCGAAACATCGGAAGTAATAATATGATAATAAAAAAAACAAGATAAGCCATTAAATTACTTTGAACTACGTCTACAAGTCGCGAAAACCGAAGATAATAGTTTTAACTTTATATTAGTTTTTGATTAAACACCTCAATCAAATTTATACTTAGCCTATTCAATATCGAAATTAGACATTTACAAATTCAGTTAGGCATCAAACCCTACTTTAAGCTCCAGATAGTGCGACTAAATATTTTCTCTAACTACTGCATCTTTCTTTAATGGACCAGTCGATTTTCCTGTTATAGATATCTTTATCTCAAATCTGTAACAGTTCAGACGCACTCTCACGAGCCATCGCTTCGATTCGGTTCGATAGCTTTTAATTATTACTTTTAGCTTATTTACCCTTTTTATCTCATTTCTTTTTTTTTCCTTTTGGCTATTTTTATCTAATCGGTATATTTTTTGAGCAGATGAGTTGCGTAGTACATATTTATTGTAAACGCGGAAACATTTTAATGATTACGAGATTTATCATATATGGTGTTTACAGATTACTATTTTTTTTTTTTTCGAATTACAACAAAATTAAATAAATTATCAACTTATTGTCTCGGTGGTGCGGTAGTTACGCTCCTGAATGTTTCGCCGGGGTCGTAGGTTCGATTACCACATCAGGAAAAAAAAAAACGTGTAATGTTGTTTGCTTCTTAAATCGTGTTTGCTTTTTGTCTGGGTGCTTACTTACTATCTGTATTATTAGTATTATATGTAATTATTTAAAAAAAAGTCAATCTCTGGTAGCCATAACACAGGGAATCCTAAATTGGGACTGGATGACCGTGCGTCCTTTGTTCTCAGTTATTATTATTAGTTTTCTCTTCCGTTGCAAATTTAAGAAAGAAAAAAAAATCAGCATTTCATACTTAATTGTTTCAATGTAATGCTCATCAGTCGGCTTGCCGTCCCTAATGAGAAAGTTGCTCTGAAATCGTTGATTTTAAAATATTGAAGATAAATTATATAAAGTAAAGTCGGTTACTAAAACAGAGTTATAGAACGCATGCCAATAAGGATATTTAATTGATTCATGTGTAGTTTTCACAAGTGAAGATAGTATAATTTGAGGCATAACCTTGTAAAGTTTCATTTAAAATACTATATATCAGAATTTAGTTTTATACTGTCACATGTTAAAAATTAAACATCAAACAAAATTAAGCTATTGCATAGCTTTTATCGCGGGCCTTGAGCGCTGCAACCGAATCATGAAATTCCGTAACGAAAAAAACCTAACACCCCTCACTCCGCCTACCATGTAGCTCGCGTTCAACACATTCACGCGTTGCGCTTGTGTAGTGTTTGTGAATAAGTGCGCGGCGTGACGTCACACTGCATGCGCATAATGAAAAGTCTGCCCATCTCTCTCTCGCGTGGTCTATCTTATGAGTGTGAAGGGGACAGTTAATGTTTTGCTTTTATTAATTTTTAATATAGCGTGGTCTTGTTTTATTATTGTTTTAATATTAAATTATCATTGTCTAATTATAATTGCATAAGTTGATAAAAAAATGCTATGCAATAGCTTTACCGCGGCAGTTCCCGAGTGCCACACGTTTGTTTTATTGTTACAAAAGTTACTCTTTCTATTTGTTATATTGTCATGACGAAACCACTGAACTAATTTTAACAAAATTCGCTATGAAAATAGTTCAAATCTGGAAAGTAATATGGGTAGCAACGTTAGTTTTCAATACTGAACACGGCTCTGCAACAATGCGATATAAAGTGTAAATCACGCTCTAGTTGTCGAATTCAACTTATTAGAATATTAGATACGTTTATTCTATTTGGCTAAGATCCCATTGTTATGACTTATCTTCCAAAGACGATTACTCTCATTCATCGCTATAGCCCGAGATCAAACAGAATACAAGCGGTCATATGGCCCTTTTTAAATTTACTGATGTAAAGTTTTAATAACAAAATGTTATTACAATATCAGCAGCTGAAGTAGATGAAAAATAGGGGGAAAATAGCAATAATAATACCATCATCATAAAACCACGACCACTTAAAGGCGCTAAATAAAGAGATTATAATTCATCTACGATTAATTATGTAGCCAAAAAATCACCAAAAAATACATTTTAATTGAATATTCTCAAATCACTCTCTCGTGCATCGGCAATACTTTAAAATAATTTTACCGAAAGAAAATGAATATTAATCTGTTACAAAATTCATTGAAGTGGTTTAAGTACTTGCTTCCTCAATAGCATTAATTGATAATAAATTGGGGTCTGCGAGTTCTCTAGTAGCTGTAACGTCGTTACTAATAACATTATGTACTTCCTTATATTGTCGACCTTATCTTGTTATGAAATAATTAAGTGTTCTATTTACGTTTACAAGTTCAGTGGTATTGGTCCCACCGCTATTGCGGACTAATAATAATTAGATTTAAATAGTTCAGTTTCAGTTTTATAGATTATTATACTGTTTAAATGAAAGAGATATGAAGCATTGTATTTTTCCCCGACATTTTTGATGAATCAAACAAACTCATTTGTGCTAAATTTCACTTTTAATATAACGGCAAGTTCTGGTCGTAGAGCGTCATCGATTACCTTCTCACCCTAAACATTAAAAATATATCATCATACTAAACGCTAATAAAGGCTAATCGTACATTATTCCATTTGTCTCTCTTCAAATTATTTTAATAGTTTCATATCATTTAAAAGAATAACAATGTTAATCAAGTTTGCTAATGCGGGGCAATAGCCAGCTTCCTGCATTATTCATTAGCGTTTATTCAACTTTGAGTTTTATTTGGGTAACACTAAACTCCTTTTTTGTATAATATTAATTAATAAGTACTATCTGTTATATGATTACAGTATTCGATACCGTTTTCGCGTTGACAAATAAACAGTTATTTGTAACACTCGTGACTGTACCACGCGCACTTTTAATACGAGAGTTATCAGGATCAAACTAGATCGAGTTGTTTTTGAAAAAGAAAATGTATCGATTAAGATTTCGACTTATACCTCAAGCTAAGGTGGTCGCATTGATGTAGTGATGTGTGGGTATCGATAACCATATAACACCATATTTTCTAGCTTATTAACCCAACTAGATCAAAAATAGATATGTATAATGTTATGGAATACTTCAGAATGAATAAACCATAAAACATCGATCACGATCCACGATCGATGCCATAGAAGACTTAATTCGGTTTTTTGTGATTTAATAAGAAAACAATATTTAAAGACATAAATTTTTTTTTAATTTAATTATTTAAACCGTATTTATACTATACAAAACTGAACTCTCTTTTCACTGCACGACAGACAGATGAGTGATTTCGTTAAGAAAAATATTTTATTAAAACTAAAGAGTTTTAAAAGTTTTAAATGATAAATATTTTTCTTTAGATATATATGTATACTGTCATAATATCTACGGAGCATTCGTCTGTGACTGTTTTATATTTTTCAATGTGAATTTTTCAAAATCTGTTTTCGTGATTCATAGCGGAGATGCCGACACAAACAGAGGCGGAGCCCGAATTCTTGCAAGCCCTGGAGAACCACACCGTGACTCTGGGACGCGACGTGCACTTCACATGCGTCGTCAACCACCTCTCAAACTACAGGGTAATTCTTAGATTTGTTATTTAACTATAAACTTTTTCTTGTTTATTGCTTATTCTTTCTTATTTATGTGAAAAATGTTTTATTAATAATTATTATATATATGTATGTATATAACATATTTCACTGAATTGGTACACCGCGCGTAATTCGTTTCCAAATGATTCTTGACCACCTGATGGTGGTCTGGAAGCGATCGCTCTTAGCGATAAGAGCGCCCGCCAATTGTACTTTTTTTTTGTATTTAATGTATCGAATTGTTTACTTATTTTTTTGGTGTACAATAAAGAATACTCTCTCCCCCCTCTCCCTCTCCCCCCTCCCCCTCTCCCTCTCCCCTCTTCAGTATCAGTAGTATCAGAAGTCCACAGATTTCACAACATAAATCCAGCTAAAAAAGTGAAGTCAACACCTCAATTTCATTGTACAGCTGCGTCTCTCTTGAAAACGGAATGCGCAACTGCTTCGCCGTGGAAACAGTCGATACCTAACCATTACAAGCACATAACCATAACCGCTTAACCATCTGCCATTACTCAAGCACATAAATAACGCTGTAAGCTATCGATATAAAACATAGTTAATCCTTATTCTAAGCCACCTAACTGTGTTTCTAGGTAATCAGATTTCAGCTACAAATCCCCTTATATTTCGTATCTAGTATTCACAATTAGGCTTAGGAAGATTTGCGAGAACACTACCATAAAATAAGGTATTAAGAATCGAGATGGGTATTATGGCCTTAACGTTTGCACTTAGAATTATTTCTATTTTCATATTTTTTATTCCAAACATTTCAAAGACTTTTTGTACTATGTATAAGTATATCACTTAAGGTATAAGTTTGAGTAGGTATTTTTTGTTTGAACGAATTGCATAATTAAGCCACTGTTGATATTCGTTGTTCAGGTCTAAATTCAAGGTTTTTAAAAAAAATCAGTTATGTTTGACATCAGGAGCTTCGAATTTCTTTTTTTTTTGATACGTAACACGACCAGGTTCATCGCTTGCCTGGTGCTAAGTGATTTCCGGAGACCATAGACAGCCCAACGTGAACGGCAACACCTGCAGGAAGTACACCAGCAGAAATAGTCAAAACGATGGCTTATATTCCGTGCGATCCATGCAACCCATGACCGAACGCTGTGGAGGAAAGTCACATGTGGTCGCGATCCTCAGCAGTGAGGGAACGATGGAGAAGAAGAATATAGATGCGGGCTCTTTTGTATCCATTTGGACGTACATATACCCACCAGTAAAAAACCTGACACTGAGTGAGCCGTAAGCTCGTCATCCCCTCAAAAGCAATAAAAAAAAGATATGCAGACAATGTCAAAGGCGAAGCTCTGTTTATTTTTCAATTACAATTACACTGAGACCTTAGAACTTATATCTCAAGGTGGGTGGCGCATTTACGTTGTAGATGTCTATGGGCTCCAGTAACCACTTAACACCGGGTGGGCTGTGAGCTCGTCCAACCATCTAAGCAATAAAAAAAAATGTTTTGCATACTTCAACACGCTGATGGTCCACCTGATATTAAGTGATTACCAGACCCTATGATATCACAACATAAATTTCGCTACCCACCTTTGCATAAGATCTAAGTATCAGTGGCTTAGTATAAAGGCCCTACCTTTCAAACCGGACCGAATTACTGATTCACAACCGAAATAGACGAAATAGAGAGTGGTGATTATAACACGACCTACCACCAGAAATTTTTATTACGCAAATTTTATTAAAATTTTCTAGTTTGATTTTTAAATAACACTACATATTCCCTCATTGTAAACTCAATGACATATTATATTGTACCTGTCTAATAGATTTGAACATCGACATAGTCAATCGCATCGCTCAATATGAGGATACCGTCCATCTTATCCTAAAATATAACTATTATAGAAATATTTTTGTCATTGAAAATTACGATAACAGCCACTTAGACCAAAAATAGTGTGATGGGCTATTGTAAATTGATTAAAAAAACAATGATCCTCACAGAAAACGTTACCAATCATAACACTCAAACGAATAAAATAAATATTTTTTTTTCACTAACTAAAAATTCTTCCTCATTAAAGAGCAAAGCACAAAAAATTTAGAGTAAATATTATAGTTTCTCTTAGCATATTCATTACTCTGTCTCTTAATTGTCAATTTCAATCATTTAAATTTTATTCGTTTGCATACCTACAGCTTTTTTGTTCGTTCTTATTTGATACCAAAATGTCCTGCATCATAATTTTTACGTACGACATTTTTTATATATATTTTTTTTATTTATGCAAAACGTAATCCAACCAAAATACTTATGCGTTCTGGTTGCATTATATTTAAATTGTTTCTTTTTGGTTGTTGTTGTCGCGGAGCAGATTCCTTGAATGTATCCTCCCGTTACAGAAAAGGCATCTGAAGTAAAACACCATTGCAATCAAGTGCTGGTCAGGATCATCTCATCAGTTTTCGATTCCATAGCCTTCATGATCACGTCTACTGGTAGTCAATACTCGCGCATCAAAGCTCTCATGCTCTATTCGTAGAAAGTGAAAGACTACATAGCCCTCAAATTTTTTTATTGCTTAGATGGGTGGACGAGCTCACAGCCCACCTGGTGTTAAGTGGTTACTGGAGCCCATAGACATCTACAACGTGTATATGTAGTCCACGCACACTAGCACACTAAAGCGAGAACTACAAATGCAAAATAGAAATAGTGAACGAAGAATTTTCAATTTGCCATCTCCTGCCTCCGCGAGCATCATCTCGACTCTCTTAAGTCCTAAACAGGTTTCAAGACATAGGAGGTTGAAGGGAAAACCCTCCAACCTTACATTACAAAACGCTATCCTGACCCGTGGATGTATCGTTCCGCAGCTATCGGGAAACTGCTTAGAACGACTTCATCAAAATTCAGCCCAAAAACTGAAAACTTCCTCTAAAGCAACGTAAATGGAGGAAAGCACCATACATTTTGTCCGGAGCACCTTATTTATGTAGTCTTTAACTTCACTCATGTAACTCAGTGATGTACGGGGAATCTACTAAATCAAATGTCATTCAAGTTAATAATTTTAAGCATCATTGTAGCTCTTATTAACATATAATGTAGACGTCAGAGAATGAGCATAACTCATCTTTTCTAAAGTGCTTATCGTTCATAGTAATATAATAACAGATGTTTTACCTTTCCGAGTTTGTTTCCAATAACTGCGATGACGGATCTGTATCTATAACTACTATTGTAATCTCTCCTCTACCATTTCATTATCATATTTTTACACTGGTTGGATATCGAAATGTCGCATACGACCCTTTCATTGTCACACTTTAGAGTTGAATTAGAATAACTAAAAATAAATAAATAAAGTTTTTTTTTATTTCGCCGCCGGAATTTAAATCAGTAGCTACATTCCAATTCAAATAGTATCAGATTAATCAGCATGAAATTTCCACTGTCGATACCTTTATTAAGAGGTCAACATAAAAAACAGTATTCTGCTTTAATTAAAATACAACAAACTAATTAACGAAATATATAACTATTATACTTAACTTACTGGTTACTGGTGGTAGGACCTCTTGTGAGTCCGCGCGGGTAGGTACCAACACCCTGCCTGCTTCTGCCGTGAAGCAGTAATGCGTTTCGGTTTGAAGGGTAGGGCAGCCGTTGTAACTATGTATACTTGAGACCTTAGAACTTATATCTCAAAATTGATGGCGCATTTACGTTGTAGATGTCTATGGGCTCCAGTAACCACTTAATACCAGGTGGGCTATGAGCTCGTCCAACCATCGAAACAATAAAAAATAAATAAATAAAATAAAACTAAACTACTACTACTACTACATACTAAAATTAACTATCCTTTGATTTACTGATAGCACGACGTAAAGTAGGCCGCCTATTTCTGTGAAGCAATGGGGACAGTAATAATACTAATAATGATGAATGAGACTTAGATCTCATGTGTCAAAGTATTCAATTTCACTCAGGCCGCGAGATCGTTCAAGTCACTCGTCTAAGCACTAAAAATTTTGCTAGAAAAGCAAGGACTCCGCGATAAAAGAAAGACATCGTTCTAAACTAAGTTGCGAATCTATTTGAGGAATACACCGGTTTTACGAACATTAACATGATTCGCATTACAGAATAAACATGAGTATTTTTTTTTGCTTCGTAAATAAGTAACTTTGTGACGCCGGCGCGACAAGATTATAAAAATGCCACTTAGCATTCTGCTAATTTGCAAACGCGGCTGTTCTAACCCATAATGTTAGGAGGATGCTAACCGTTACTCAACATCGCACAGTAGCGTGATATCATCATTCAAATAAAAAAAAACACTAATATGGACATCAATACAAATAATGAACTCGTCGTAAGTGTGTTTGAAGCTAAAGGTTTACTTTATTTGTTCATGTGGTGTACCAATATCGCTACGGCATCAGCGATGATACTGAATAAATTATAAATGTGTGCCATTTCGATAATATTTGTGTAACACAACTGGCTCGGAGCATCATAAGCGACTAAAGACGATAAACAATTGACATTAAAGAGTTCTCCATTGTTATTTTAGCATTCCGTGGCCAAATTGAAAAACAAAACCTGTCTTAATTGATACAGTCTCTCTCTTGGCGTATGTGTCCGTTCTTATGCTATTAGATAGATGAGAATAAAGTTTAAATGGGATTTGGGACGGATAGGAAAATTGAATATTATAATTTGTGATATGTCAACTTTTCAATATTTTTCTGAGAAGTATTTGCCAAAGCAATGTTATAAACTTTAGATTTCTTAAATATGTATTATTGCCATTTTTGGAGTTATTATTAATCAATTTATTTTAGAGCTCTTATATTATGAAATATTAAATTTTAATAAGATTTCCAGACCACGTGTTCATATTTTGCGCTGTAGTTTAGTAGATTTTACATTGATGTTTGTAAGGTTTTATAAAACATTTAAATATATTTATAGGAAGTTTCTCTTTCACTGTGAGACAAAAAACAAGAGGTATTTTTCATTTAATTTTTTTTTTAAATACCTCCCCTCTACCTTTCAACAAGATATAAAAAGCTTAAATGAATTGCATATTGTTTGGCAGGTGTTATTATTATCTTTATTACAGGACCCACGACTATGAGCTCCAATGTAGCTTTGACACGACCTTGAAAACTCGTTTTAGGATGTAGGAGTCGCTAATTGTTTTATTTTCATATTTAATGAATCATTCCATTGTCAATGTTGGGAAAATTTAATAAAAGGCGTAAATTATCAAAATAATTATCATTTTAATGTAGTTTATCACTAATATAATTCCAATTGATGTATATACACTTAATCTAATTTGATAATAGTATAATAATGTGAGTAAAAAATAATTTCTTGTTTGGTACTTAATAAAATACTGAAATTAAATTTTCAGTCTTAATATTTACAATTCTAAGATCAGCTACACAATAAACTTATATATGATATTTTTCTAAATGTATGATGATTAATTCCGATCTACACCTAATATTTAGACTTATTTGTAAAGTTCGCAACGATTGTAAACAAATAATTGATTGAATTTTACATTTATGAGCCTTTTTGCTTACAACCTACGTTTAAATAAATATTAAGGTACTGATTTATTTTGTTCGCTCTTTTTTAGATCCATTAACTCCTTCATTTCATCCTTTGATTTATCTTTGAAATAACATTCGATTTCTTGTAAAGACTTGTCTTTAGTTTCAGGCAAATATTTAAACAATATTAGTACACAAATCGATACTGATATACCATAAAATAAACATGCACCATGAAAACCGAACACCCTAAAAATGAACGGTGAAACTTTAAGAACTGTAGCCATTAAAATATCACTAAACAAACCCATTACGAACATTGCCGAACTCTTAAACTGAAGAGGTATCAATTCCCCATAAATCGACGTGGTCATTATAATTGGTCCACAACTTATGGTCACTGAAAACATTATCAACAATGCTATGGACAGAATATTGTTTTCAGATATTATCGACTGCTTAACTAAATACAAATACAATGAAATCACGTACAAAAATATCATACCCAACGTGGAAGCAACTAAAAGTTGAGTTCTACGCCTTAAGAAATTAGCTAACAAGCATCCAACATACATTCCTAGTACTGTAACACCGTCTAGTACTAACATGCCCTTATAGGCTATTGACTCGCTGTCAGTAATTTTTTTAATAATGTTTATAGCATACATGCTGAACACAATTTTCCCCGATAAGTTGTTAAGGGACATCATCAGCATGCAGAGTAGAACAGGTTTATAGAATTCTGCACACAGAAGAGTTTTTCCAAAATTGTTAAGTCTCCATCTCCAAGTTGTTTTATCGTCAGCGTGACACTTTCTGTATTCTTTTTGGGAGTTAATTAGGTATTCGAGTTCTTCCTCCGACTCCTTGTCGTAGCCTTTGAGCCAGCGATATGACGCAGTGCATTCATCGAACCTTCCTTTAGTCGCTAGCCAATACGGCGATTCAGGCCAAATGAGAACTGTGACGGTGAAAGCGGAGCAGACAAATGCAAAAATTCCGATGTTCTTCCAATAATAAAACGTTCCGATTGCATTCGACGCCCATATTCCCCAAAAGAATGATGCTGACTTTATCGTTAAAAATATCCCTCGATATTTAACGGACGTATATTCTGTTATGATGACAGGTAATATGGTATGAGCACCGGTCTGAGCCATACCCTGCATAATTTCGCTGATTAAAATATGCGTTGTGTTTGTACTGCAGTAAAAAACAACATACGCCACTAATGAATTCACACACAAAATAATAAACGGTATCTTGCGTCCGATGAATTCAGTGAAAACCGGTAATAAGAATACCCAAGGTATCCCGCCGTATCCTATGACGGATGCTGAAAATAAAATTATTGTGAGAATCACAAATGAGTGAATCAGTAATTCAAGTACCCTATTGATTAATTGGATATTTTTAGACAGCCCTAAGATGTTAATTCTAATAATAACGTTAAATTGTTTTTCTTCTGTAGGAGAATTTTTTTCTTCGCTTTTTACTCAAGAAGTTTCATCGTAATTTATTTGTGTTGTATTATTGTATTCATATGTTTATAATTGATTGTCATTTGGGAATTGAAGTCATCTTTAATATGTGATTGTCGTAAATTTGAAAAATTGGTTTAGTCAAAACCACACTTTTGATATAAAAATTTGAGTTTTACTGATAAAAATACATTAGATATAACTTAAGCTCACGCGTAAGCGATGATCTTATATCACAATATGAAGTTGGCACTGTGAAATATCGTTGCACTGCCAATATTCTGTACTAGATATTGGCATAACTGACAGTACCAGCTTACTCTCAAAGTTATATGGGTTCTTCGGCAAATTAGTAAATAATAAAACTTATATCCAAGCATATACTATTGGGACATTTAAAGTTGAGAGCTTACACGAATAGACATCCACTCTGCCCATTTTTTTTCCAAGGAGGACACAACTATTATAATACAATTGAGACTCCGACCTCATGTCTCAAGGTGGGGGACAGCCCCATTTACACGTTTTCATATATATGAGTTCCGGTAAGGACTCAGAGACAAGTGGGGCGAGAACTCGTTTGCCTATTCAGAGCAATACAAAACTGCCTCTGATAATGAAGGTTTTTTATATATTTTTTTAAATTAAGAATTTATTTACATAGCCATGACTCCATTTCCTCCGAGACTGCTTCTGTAGAGTTTGCCTCTTTTCTGAGCTGAGGTATGAATACCGTGGGTGCTCCTGTGGCCATTCCCAGGGTGAAATAAATCGTCCATACTCCACTACAAACGAGGAACTGTAATAAGCGAAAAAAAAAACAATAATTACAAACAACTAAAATAAAATCGTACTATGTTCAAATATAATGGAACCGATAACTCCATACGAAAAACATTGATAACAGTATTTTAATTTTAATACCTGCTTGATAAACGGCATCCACGAACACTTTTTAATGCTTCCATAATTCTCACGTGTACTAACTTCTTTGTAATTAGAGTCCATGATTTGTAAAAACGAATAATAAAACTTTTTTTTTTAAACTTTTTATTTTTTTTAATATAAAATTTTCAAATTTTGTACCACTCGATTTTTTTTTTCACAAATATTACTTGTTACCGTGCATGGTTGTGCAAACACACTTTCAACAAACGAATGAACATGTAACAAAAAACAGCACGAGTTTTTATTCTTATATCTTCAATTGCAATTCGTGAAATCCCTTGACATGTACTCGTAATTCCAGTGATCAGTATGCACTTATTTACATTATGCCTAATGATTAACCGTACGTTGGCGCCGTGCGGGCCGGTTGAGCTGCCTTTGAATTTTACGGACAAATTATGCGACAAATATTGCACAACCGACCTTAAACACTGCGTAAACACGAATGTTTCCAGATATTTTTGCAGAGCGCTTAAACCACAACGGCGTGCATGGCGCTATGATAAAACTTGTTTTCCCACGTCCACCAAGGATCGTTTCAAAATTAGGATGTTATTCACGTTCGCGCGTATAAAGCTGCCGCATAAAATATTAAGTATTTTTTTTTATTTATAGTACATTAAAGTGTTTGAAAAAAATTAATTCGCACATTAAACAACAATAACGTAAGCATGTTAAAATCCAAACAATTCTCGTTCATTATTAATAGGAATCAAGTGTTAAGGCGTCGCTTTAAAAGCAGACAATAGTATGGCCAACCATAACCTTCTTAAGCGTCGACTCATAAGGATACGATACGTCCACAGACTATATAAAAAAAAAAAACGCGTGACTAGTCTGTACCACATTAGCCCGCTGGAGAATATAAAACCAGTTTGAGGAGTTGTTGCACACCACAGGGTTCACATGTGACTTCACCTTTAAAGAATATCACGGCATATATAAAATATCCATATAATCAATGCGAAATATTTTAGGGTTTCAATTTGAAAATCATTGAGTTTTAAAAACATTTGGAGTAATAGACGCCACGCAATTACAACTTAGATTGACTCTGGGGCATGATTTGAGACATTCCATTACTTGCTATGAAGAAAGCATTTTTAAAATTTATAATAAATACAGGTAGATTCTGGTTGACACTAACGACTGGCCGAGAATTGACTTTTGTCTACCTTATCCGGCCAAAAAATGAAAATCAACTCAATTTATTTATCTACACTAATATTATAAAGCTGAAGAGTTTGTTTGTTTGAATGCGTTAATCTCAGGAACTACTGGTCCGATTTCAAAAATTCTTTCAATGTTAGATAGTCCTTTACTGAGGAAGGCTATAGGCTATTTAATATCACAGTAAGACCAATACAAGTGGAGCACCAATATAGAATGTTTCAAAATAGGGGCTTAAGTAGCTCCTTAACATTCTATAATTCAAAAATATTTTCACTTTCTACGTAAATGAAGTGGGGGGTAAAATTTAGCGTTATGTCCGAGTAACTATTCCACGCGGACGGTGTCGCGGTCAAAAGCTAGTTTTAAATAAATGTCTACATCTGCATGTACGTACGCGCAAACGGTACGCTCAAACAGATTTTTATTATTAGATTCTATAATACTTACTTTACATACATTATGTTAAATTTTCAATCTAAACAAACATTTTTAAATACATCTCAATAACCGGTGTAGCCACCAATTCAAACAACCTTCACAAACATCTCAGCCAATGAAAATGTCGTTGGTGTTATATTATACGAATGGTAGATTTTATAAACTTATTTCCATTCGAATAAAATCTTTTCAATGGCACTTATATGCATTCGCGTTATAATCAACAAAGGACGAAAAACAAATACTTCACTGCCTTTATGAACTGTTAATTGGTGGTTTAATGGGTTAAATAAGGTCGATAAGGTTGCTTAGATGCAAATAAAAATTGCTTCACGACAAACCAGTTTCGATCAATGTCGCCATATGGGTATTTATAATCTATTTTCATCACTGCAACGATATTCGCTTGCCATACTCCGCAATAAAAAGTGAAGTTTCACTAGGTTTCTTTATAGAGTTGTCTGCGTACACTTCTGAATGATAATGAGTTCGAGCGACCGTATTATTACGACATAGTATATGTGTAGTTTTAGACTAGCTTTACTGCTTGTAACCACAGAGCAACACATTTTGTATGCATTCATTAAAAAACAAAATTTCCAATGAATAAGCATATCGAACTGAAATACCTATTTATTACTCGTAGTTTTATCAAGAAAATTATATAATAATTATCAATTACATGATTACACTAGATGGCCAGACGAGCCTACGGCCTTTCGCAGTGTAAATTAGTTGTTGTAGCCCATAGACAACAGACACTCACCTACCTTGAGATATGAGTAGAAGACTCAATTACGTGTTGTAATGACTGTCTCACAAACATGGTTAGAATGGTGATATTAAAATAACCATTGCGGCTTCCAAATACACTCAAACACCAGTAATTATACCTACCATTGCTCATTTTCCACCACTCACCCCCACACAATGGAGTTCTCACCTGTACTATTTAGAGCCTTACAAGATGTTCATATCATTTTCAGAAACTTTTCTTATCCGTACTTTCTAAACTTTGGAAATTAATTTCCTACCATGCTATTCTCAGTCATTTTACATCGCTATAATAAAAATAAAATAAACATTAAAAAAGTACTTTACAATAACTAGAGTTGTTATAACATAAAACAATTATCAATAATTGATAGTTTTATATTTTGAAACTAGCTGACCCGACAGACTTCGTAGTGCCTCAATCGATAAATAAAAGACCTAAATTTTTGTATAAAATAAACTTAAAACAAACAAAAGGAATCCGTCCGACGGGAGACACATCAAAGGAAAAACAAAATTGTTATTTTTATTTAATTCCGAGCATTTTCATTTTATATACCTTTTAAACCTTCTCTGGACTTCCACAAATAATTCAAGACCAAAATTAACCAATTCAGTCCAGCCGCTCTCGAGTTTTAGCGAGACTAACGAACAGCAATTCTTTTTTACATATATATAGATAAATATAACTGCAAAATACCACAGGAAAAAACAAGCAAATTTCAAAAACGTCCAGCTCCGACTTAACCTAAGGTACTACTTTGTATAAAGGTTAATATTACAAACCAGTCCTTACTACTTTCATACGAGTATATGTGATTATTACAGAAGAGAGAAACCAAATCTTGGTTAAAATCACATTAGTATTTAAGTATGTTCATTCAAGCCAATAGATTATTATCATCTCGATTGTTCCTTTCGTGTCTCGAACAATAGGGTCCTCGATGTTATCTGCTTAATTGACAATATTCTACACAATCTATTTATTATATGAGTACATATATTTAGAATTTTAGTGTAAAATATACATACCTACACATGCCGTAGATTAAACAAAATTGGACTATGGTTTCCATATCTGAACTTGAATTGTAGGCCTTCATTGGAATAAAATCTTGTTTCTTATTGCTCAAATGCTTGAATCAGCTTACATACCATGAAACTTACTTCTTATATAATACTTTTCAAACTTCCTTCTTCGCGCAGCGAGAAAAAGTAAAATCTGAAATAGTGCTTAGTTAGAAACAGAGAGAGCTACAGTTGACAAAAGTTCAACATCCATAGACAAGTTATGAATAGTATAATAATTATTTTTTTTATATTTTTATTTCCTAGATGTGTGGACGAGCTCACAGCCCACCTGGTGTTAAGTGGTTACTGGAACCCATAGACAATCTACAACGTAAATGCGCCACACACCCTGAGATATAAGTTCTAAGGTCTCAAGTATAGTTACAACGGCTGACCCACCCTTCAAACCGAAACGCATTACTGCTTCACGGCAGAAATAGGCAGGGTGGGGGTACCTACCCGCGCGGACTCACAAGAGGTCCTACCATCAGTAATTACGCAAATTATAATGTTGCGGGCTTGATTTTTATTACACGATGTTATTCCTTCACCGTGGAAGCCAATCGTGAACATTTGTTGAGTACGTATTCCATTAGAAAAATTGGTACCCGCCTGAGATTCGAACACCGGTGCATCGCTAGATATGAATGCACCGGACGTCTTAACCTTTAGACCCCAACGACTGCTATCTTCTACTTCTACTTCTACTTTCCAAACTTCCTTCTTTGCACAACGAGAGAAAGTGAAATCTGAAATAGTGCTTGTTTGAAACAGAGAGAGAGTTGCAGTTGACAAAAGATCAACATCCATAAGTGCAAAACTCTCCACTCCATTCAGTTTTGTACGATTTTTTCCAAAAGAGACCCACTATTTACTTAATTTCGACCACTCATCTATCGGTCCGGCTTCCTCGATTTTTGTGAGCTCCTTCCTCGGTAGCCCCTGTGTCAATTTTCTTGTCCACTTCTTGCTTTCTATTCTTTTTAATATAACTTTAAAGTGTATATGACAGTGATATTAAATTTGCACAAAAACGTACTTTGTGAATGAGATTTCGGTAAAACATGGGACAGATTATAAAAATGTGATAACTGTAATCTGACTGGATGGTCGTTCAACTCGAGACTAAAAGGAGTGTACATTACTTGATGAAATAACCACGCTCTTCTTCAAACCGGACTTGTGCGGACTCTCACTAATTAAGCAAAATTAATTAATTTTTATTTTTAATATATACTTATTATCTTTAGACCGTTAAATTGTCATTCCGACTACTTCACTACATGTCTACCTTGCGGTTCTCTGAATGAGATCGCATTAAGTTCAACCCTTGTAATATGTATTGTGATAAATTACCTAATGCTTAACAATGAAAATCTCACCAGGATCGGCTTAACTGTTTCGAAAATCATTCCGAACAATCAAACAGAGAGCGGACACATGAACATTCTAGTCAGGTCATAAATTCTGTCACATGTTTAATGTAAAATAATTGAAACAAGTTTATTCACTATGTAACCATTCATATACCAAAATGAACTTAACAAAACATAGATTCTTATGACACTAAAGTTTATTCAAAATGACCTCCGTGATTTTGAATACAGGCCTTCAATCTGCGCGGCCAGTCGTCTATCGCAGCACGAACGAGGTCCAAGTCAATATCGGCGGCTGCCTTAATCAAGTATATCTTGAGTGACTCCAAATTGGGATGAGGCTTTGAGCACGCCTTTTCCTCCAAGCGTTGCCATATCTTGTAATCTAACGGATTCAAATCTGGACTGGAGGAGGGCCAGTCTTCGTGCCGGATGAAGTCGATTTCACGCGCCGCCAGCCAGTCTTGTGTGCTCTTCGCTCTATGAGCTGGCGCCGAATCTTGTTGGAATACCCAGTGCCTGTTATTGAACATGGTATGAGAAACAGGTTCCACAAGGTTCGTCAGGACTGTATTTTGATACACAACTGCATTCGTTTTTACACCTTTCTCACAAAAATATACCTCTGTTAAGCCCCAATAAGAAACTCCCAACCATACCATGAGCGAGGATGGAAAATGACCTCGTTGGACATGCGGAATACGGTTGCTCGCTTCTTCACTACTGTGTGCGTACACCTTATCATTTTGTTTGTTGTAGCTCTCTTCTACGGTAAAAAAATTTTCATCCGAAAAAAGAATTTCCCGATGTTTTTTTCCCGCGTACCGCTTCAACAAAGCGCGGCATCTCTTCAGTCTCAGGTCCATTAGACGAGCATTCAAACGATGTCCTGTTTTTCTTCGATATGCCCGAAGCCCTAAGTCTTCATTTAACACCCTTTTCACGGTGGTTCTGCTTAACCCCATCTGAAGGGCCAACAGTTTCTGCTTACGTTTGGGATTTCTTAGAATTCGCGCCTTCACAGCTTTTATCACTGCTGGAGTCCTAACAGACCGAGGGCGACCACTTCTTGACCTGTCATCTACACTAGAGTCTTCATTGTATCGTTTGATGGTACGAGAAATGAATCTTTTTTCAATCAATCAAATTTTTCAGTATGTTAAAAATTTGAATTGGCGCGTAACCGCAACGATGCAACGCAATAACTGCAACACGGTCTTCTTTAAGCGTCCACTCCATGTTTAAAAATGAGTAAAATTCTAAAAGTATACATTTTTATTTTCATGAACAATTCGAAATTCGAATTCAATAAACTTGTTTGTGGCCAGCATTCTAAAAGAAAAGTTTTTACTGTGTGACAATACTTATGACCTGACTAGTTACAGTATGCGTATTGAGTATTTCTAAAGAGCAATTCACTATTCATATAGAAATACTCAATACGCATACTGTAACTAGTCAGGTCATAAGTATTGTCACACAGTAAAAATTTATATGAATAGTGAATTGCTCTTTAGAAATACTCAAGGATAGTATTTTTCATATCTCATGATAGGAAAAATACTATCCTTCGATATCATCATAAGACATTACAGTTTTATTTGATTTCTATAAATATATCTGGTAGTGTGTAGAGTATATTTCGCACTTACAAAGATATACCTACGTTATATGATAAATCTATATACCTACATTTGATTGCATAAAAAAAAATTAAGTAGCAATTCTTCAACAATAACTGCATAACACGACACAATATAGGTGTGACAATTAAAAACGTTTGTATTATGTACATAATGTTTATGCACAAGTCATGAGAACAGAACAGTCCGCCCGCATTTCTAGAACAAGCCCGCTTGTAATGGTACTCGTCTGAAATAATTCTCGCAAACAATGAAACTGTTACTAATTTATTTTCCGACCGCAACAAAGCGAGATGTCACATGAAAAATGCTGGAAGCGGCGCCGACGAGACGACGTGCATTCCTCTGAAGCTCTATAATTTCACGTGTAGCGCCCTCAGTTTGCAACGTTTAAGTCACTGCTCTGTGGTAGACAATACAAATGGTTTATATTTGAAGGATTTGCAGGGAACGAGAGCGATTTATGACAGTTTATCTTAGCTGTATAAAATGAGAATTTACGCTTTTATGCACGCCCGAGGGAAATGCTGTGTTTTATATTTATTCTAATTGCATTGTTAATTTTATTTCCGTGTGATGTTTGTATATAGCTCTATGTGAGAATTTGATATTACAATTTTAATTTCCATTCGTCTTCACAGCAAAATACTTCTGTTTTGCTGTCTGTATTGCGTACGTAATTTTACCGTAGCTCGTATTATGAGCCTGTACCATGTGTACTATGGTGCCTAATACCACAATACTACGATACTACCTACTACTGCCGCGAAGCAGTCACGCATATTAATTTGAATGGTACGACAGCCGCTTATATAATACAATTGATACATCGTCTTCAGGTTTTGTGGAAGTAGCGACATTCGTGTCCGGGTTGTATGGGTTTTGGTTAGGTTAGGTTACGCTATTTGCCCGTTTAGCAGGCAAAACGATCGTGAGCAACGTTAAAAACATTTTTGAATATTATAATCATGAACTCTACTCGGACCTTCTTTATTACAGAATAGAGTCAATAATCCCTTGGCACTACGGCAAATGACCGTGGGAGTGCGCCGCCACCACCACGTTGCGCGGCGTTGGCGGGGCTGAGGACCTGTAGAGTTAGGAACTGTCCAACAGCCAGGGCAATTGCGCTGTTGAACGAATTTCTGTCCGTAATCCAGGATGCTGACGTATTTGCCGATAGTCGGGGAATACTTTTTCCCAAAATAATGTTGTTTTTAGCATAATAATAGTACTTAATAATTTTAATAATGCTTTTTGTGTTAACGAGTCAGGCGTAAAAATAAATAAATAAAATAAAAATGAATAAATAAATGAAGTTTAATGTACATAAACGTTTAATGTTATAAATAAATGAAATTTTACATTAAACTTCAACGTTTAACGGCCGTCTGGTGTAGTGGTAAGTAACATGGTAATTACACAAGGGGGTCGCGGGTTCGAATCCCGCCAAGGGAAGATATTTTTATGATGAATATAAATATCTTTTCCAGGGTTATGGATGTATATTAAATATATGTATGTGTATAATAAAAATCTTACATTTATTTCCGTTATCTGGTACCTGTAACACAAGTTCTTTACGAACTTATCACGGGACCGTGGCGTGATTGTTAGTAAATATTTATTTATTTATTATTAGCCCGAAAATCGAAATGCATTCGAAATTTAATTCGTTATTTTATCGTCAGGTGGCGTGGATAAAGTCAGATTCGAAAGCAATCTTGGCGATTCACACGAACATGGTGGCTCTGAACCCTCGCCTCTCCGTCACGTACAATAACCACAATACGTGGAAACTGCGCGTCAGCAACGTGCAGCCAAACGATTCCGGTACATACATGTGTCAAGTCAACACTGATCCAATGAAAAGTCAGGTGAGTTTGTGTTTATATATCGCTTTGAAACGGATTAGATCGTAAAATACAAAAAAAATGACCCATAAATTAAGTGAAATAATTCTGAATTGGATTCACCATGCTAATAAAAAGTTACAGGTAAAGTATTTGAAGAGTCCAAAATAAAAAGTATGTAACATTCATGTCAATTATTAAATTGTTTGAAAATTTCAAATTTTTCATCAGGCATCCTGTCTTTTAATGATATAAATAAGGGACTTTTGGAATAAAAAAAAAAAACTTAGTGTCAAGTTTGGTTAACAAAATATATCAAAAAAGTTTTATTATTAGAAAACTTTTTTTAGTTGCTGTCGAAAATAAACCGCTTAGTAAGTAGCTAACACAATTTATGGTCACTGGCAGAACGCCGCTGCGTGGCCGTCTACAAATTTTGCCTCATTCAGTTTTTGGCGTAATATTTGTCACTTGCAGTTAGTAAGTAGTAGCAAAATTTATCTGCTTTAACGGCGTCCAATAAATAAAGAAACAAGTCTACATAAGATCCACTGCCATACGTAAACTATCGAATACTAATTAATTTATTACTGTAGTGATCCGACAGCGAAACAGCTTAATGTGAAGGTCATTGCAGCTTATAAAATTAATTTTAAGGTCATTTGTAGCTCACAATAATATTGTTAAGGTCATTGTAGGTTACGACGTCAATGTATAGAGCATAACCCCATGTTTACTGAAAATTCATTTAAAGAAAATTATGTCACCGATAAACATAGCGCGGTTCGTCCTACTGAGTGAATTTTTAATTTTTAATGATTTAATAAAAATAATTCTAGGGTTAGGTTCTAAGCCGCCTTTGGATTAATAAATGTCATTGTGTGGATTACAAATGACGTTTTTTTTGGCAACGAATTTAACTTTAATTATTTGTTTTGTTTCATTTGAAATATGAAAAAAGTGAAAAGCAACAATAAATTTAAATCTTTTCTTTAACTAATTAGTCATTAATAAAATAAAACACTGTTAAATAGTATAAGCCGTGTTCACTCTCAAATAAGCTTGATTACCAACAACAGTATCTGAAAAAATATAGAGGCCAATCAAGTACCAAAATGCTAATTTTAGGCGACAGCTACTCTGATCAAGATGTCTGCAAGATTCTATATCCGAAATACTCCCAAATTTCGTGCGAGCGGTATTTGCAGAACAGGATTAGAAGCTTAGGATCTGAAGTCGTCATGACTTAAATATAAGAACATAAAACGTGTTGTTACTTGTGTCAAACGATGCGACTATGCCAATATTGAAATCCCACTGGCAAATGCCACTTTTTAAGGCTATACGCATCTATTGTATCTTCATGAATGACCGCTATAACGTTCCCATAACTAATTATCAGGTTAACTGTGAGTGAGGGTTACTGACAATAAACTTGACATAACACGACCACGTCCCTTAAGGTTGTGGTATACGGCTGTGAGTCCTCTTAGACTCTCACGCACAATGATAAGATATCTATCGTAAAACCAAACAAACTTCTTCATAAAAGACAAAGTAAACCTATCTTTGCACTCGATAATTTATCTACAAGCTCCTTTCAGATGGGTCACTTATCTGTAGTGATCCCACCGGATATAGTCGATTCGGCAACTGAAGGTAGTTCGGCTCAAGAAGGCGGCAGTATCAGGTTAACGTGTACGGCCACAGGGCTGCCAACTCCCGCTGTGCTGTGGCGTCGACAGAACAACAAACCCATTGTGTTTAGGCATGACGGAGGACGAGAAAAGAAAGGTAAGCTTAACATTTGTTATTTACATTAATATTATTGTTAAAAAATGCAGAACCCTAAATAACTGAACGAAAAATATAGCATACAATTGAATAAAAGATTCAAAAAGTATTTTTCATCAGAAGACGCTATTAGCATTACAACCATCGTGATTGCCCATTCAATCATTCCCTATCGTCTGCATTGGTCGGTACCAACTTCCATCCAGTTACTTCGGAAACAATGATGCCTTCCGATTTAATAGATAGGATAGCAGCTATTTCGAGATATATATGTACATATATGTGCTGTAATTTCAACTTCTTGTCTCCATGTTATTATTCCAGTACTCTTTTATTATCAGGTCGGCCGTGAGCTCAACTGTACGTCTAAGTATCTATATATTAATACGTGAAGCAAAAACTTTGTACACCTTTTTACGAAAATTGCGCGGATGCAGGAGTATGAAATTTCCCACACTTATAGAGAATATAGAGAAGGAGTGCAGAATGTTTTTTTTTTTTTTATTATGCATAAAAGATTCATTAAATCAATAAAGAAAACTTACACACACTGTCATATATTTGACACAACACATATACACACACATATACTCTGCGTTTATGGTCAAACTTTTGTTATTGTTGAAAGTTTGTGATGAAATTGAGAATAAATTAATATTGTTTGTCTTTAATACTATTTATCTACAGTGTAGTTCTTGCGAAATCTGTGATTATATTAAAAGCATTCTAATAGTGTTTGACAATAGAACCATAATAATGTTTATAAAGAAAATTTCAATTAATTATAGTCGAATTTCGACTGCTGCGGGACCACTAGTAAATATTAAAAACAGTACAAGCTCTCAAATGATCATCTTTCTACTGAATTAATTAACTCATTCATTAACACAACTAATACATCTCTAGAACATGTCGATTGCTAGTAATACTTAAGTTGATAGGAACTATGTTCAGTACAAATTTAATACAAAAGCGAACGATTTAATCTTATTATAGATTTCAAAAAGTCATGCTATATTTCATTGTCTTACAATTAAGTCTTCTTACATCTTAAGTCCAGCAATTAAGGGACTGAATTGTTACGCAAAACATAATTTAATTTCTGTGAAGAATCTAAATAATTTAGCAAGCACTATAAAATGCAAAGTGCGTAATAAAGAACATTCTAGTGTTAATATATTTTTCATTATTTTTTCTTGATAATTAATTGTAATAATTGGCCCGATCCTTGAGCGAAAACAAACATGAACTTCAACAGGTCAAGTGAAGAAAGCCCATCCTATTAAACACAAGATTAAACATAGTATCTAATCATTTTGTACAGTTTGCGAGAATCGAAAAAATATTATGCAGGCTACTCTGCCACCCAAAATATTTTCTAATAATTATATTTCTGAGACATTTTAGATATCGAGTGTTTTTATTCTAAGACCTGCTAAGGCATTATATGTTACAAGAGTAACCGTTAAATGATCAGTGCTGGCGGCTTACGGATTTTTAAAGAAAACAGTAGGATTTAATTTAACTAAAATAGCCCCGAAATAGGTCATTGGTGATATAACTAATTGCATATATTTTAAAACGTAAAACAGAACAAAAACACGTAAAATTGTCAATCAAAAATAGGTAGAAAAACAACTCAAACATTCCAAAATTGGAATTTGCAAACGGTGAACGTTTCTCGGTTTAAAAATTAAAATATTGTATGAACAAATATATTTCGTACATTGCAAATATTTAAATTTAATAAACTCTATGGGTAAGCTATTTAAAAAATACTTATGCAAGTCGCGTTCATTCGATAAAAGCCTTTTAAATAACCAGCCAGCGATTTCACATTTTTAATTATTTTCATGATGAAAAATTGGCACTTACCTTTCGATGCTTACCCTCTTTGGTTGGATTTACTCAGTGTTAAGGAGAGCCATAAACCAGTTTTGCTTTAAACATATTTACAGAGCACTATATCCATAAAATTTTATATTTTTACGATCCATGACGGCAAATGAGCTGACTCGCTTGATGATAAGATGTCGCCTACGTGCTCGTATCGTATCTTGTCGAAGCAAATATTTTTGTGGCCTTTATACAAATACATAGACAAGTGAAATTCGGCGACTCTTCGCTGTGAATAACGCTAATTATATATCAAAAGAATCTTATTTGATTGAGCATTTTATACTTTGATGGTCACTACGGATATGTAGAAAACAATTGTAATCTTCTTGGTCCACAAAATAACCCCCCTGGTATACTACATGGTTTTAAGCAATACGATTAAGCCCCCTATCCAAATAGTCGAAACAAGTTTATTAATTTCCATGAAAACTAGCTTATGGAATTCATCATTCTACGAAAAGAGTATAGTTAGTCCCGGAATAAGGCAAGAACGCTGCGACATTGGAAGTGACGAGAACCAAATAAGTTAGTCCACTCATTAGATCTGTGTCATTAAAATGACTGTAATTAAAATCATAGGGGGCTATATTGGGTTCCAAATAACCGTTTCGGATCTTCGATGGAGGGACGTATATACTCGTATGTATAATAATATGTTCTATAATTGGCAACGCACTCATCCAGGCCTTTTTCTACACGAATGATGTTTTTTTAAATATTTTACAGATAGGGACGGGAAATTTCAGCTGTGCGTTTACAAGTAGGCATTTTATAGAAATATCAATATGTTCATGCACACATAAATTTCATTAATGAACTTTATGCTTATCCAAGCATTTTTAACATATCGGACCATTTACCACATAGCTGTCTACACAGTGATTTTAGGAGATCTGACTATCAAAAAGTACACCGAGATTCTTAACAATAGAGGTTTTACTGAAACCAACATCTATTGAAGTTATATTTAAGTATATAGTGAGAACCTTCTGTTCCAAGATTGGTGACGGCATTCACCTGGTGATATCACCATCTAATAACCGACCTACTCATTAAATAACTTATTTCAGCGAATACTTACGAGGGTAGCCGTATTTACCATGCAGGCTATGAATTTTTCCACCATCAATTATTTCTCCTAAAGCTCTAATGGATTAAATAATATTACTACTATGTTGCAATGGTCTCATCAACATATGATGATAATTATATTGTTAGGTGCCAATGAAAACACTAATTGGTCGATTATTAGCGAAAGTCTTAATCAGCTATAGAAGAAGATACTAACTACACTAACAGATAATACTAAATGTTTTTGAATTTTTCGATCTCTACAATTATTTGACTTTTTTGTCCAACCGCCTAACGACTTACCTGATTGATGACATTGGACAACCCTTCCTCACTGATTCCGAATAGAATCTGCAGCAGTAGACCGCGGCCTGATTGTGAACTTAGCAGGTATATGACCAACGATTACTAGTAGGAAAAAAATATTTTTTTATTGCTTGGATGTGTGGACGAGCTCACAATCCTGGTGTTAAGTGGTTACTGGGGCCCATAGACATCTACAACGTAAATGCACCACCCACCTTGAGATATAAGTTCTAAGGTCTCAGTATAGTTACGACGGCTGCCTCACCCTTCAAACCGAAACGCATTACTGCTTCACGGCAAAAATAGGCAGGGTGGTACCTACATATGGGGACTCACAAGAGCTCCTACCACCAGTAATATTCTTATATAATAAAAATTTGGCTTCAGCCACACACAAGAACCATAATAATAGATTCCTTTACCGGAGCACTATGAAAGCAAGTGTATCCGTTTTCATATTAGACGTCTAAAATGATATTAAGTTCATCAAAAAGAAAGCCGAGCTTTACAATGCAAAGCAACAAACTGCTACCCATCTATGGACACTGTTCTCATTGTTAGCCCGACTGAGTGAGTTTTCCTTTTCCCCGGGGTGCCGAAAGCCGCTATTCTGTTCAAGTCTTTTTCCAATTCAATCTACTTTGCATTGTGCCCGACGCTCGCATGAGACATTACATCTAGACCCCCGGCCCCCTTGTGCTTGCTCTCGAGCACTTCTCCTTTCCATTGGATTTTATTTACGCAAGAGAAAGCAAGCTTTAATACATATACCGCCAAGACAATAAGACGCCTTAAAACGAGATATAAAAGCTTTGAGTTAGTCTCGCGATCCTTTTAGTGGGATTCCTTTGAAATGAATCGAATAATTCGCAGAGTTTGTGCCTATGGAGGTTTTATGTTGAATTGCTTTGTTAAATGTATAAATTACTAGTGGCCCGCTCCAGCTTCGCTCGGGTCTTTAACAAAAGTTTTAATAAGAATCCCTAATTTTTGTTAAAAAAAAAAAAACCTATGTTACTCGGAGATAGTGTAGCTTCCAGACATAGAAAGAATTTTTCAAATCGGTTCAGTAGTTTCGGAGCCTATTCAATACAAACAAACAAACAAATCTTTCCTCTTTATAATATTAATAAGTATAGATTGAACGCAAACCTAAACTAACCAACAAGCAACTTTTATGCTAATTTATCTTTTATTCTGATCAGTAAAATCGCAAATTATGAGTCATCGGCGCCGTCATTAAGAGCGCTATTTACTCACCGTTGTTCCTTTATAGAAACTGGCCTGCTGTAGTGCCATTTTGGGCACACCGGTTCCGATATGGCGTCGGCGCCGGTCTGGTTTTGCTGCTCACCGCTACAAGATCCTAAATTCGAAATTAATAATAAAAAAATTCGAGCTTACCCGATATCGCATTACCATACAAATGTTACGACAGTAACATTTTGTAATAAACTATGTTATTTTATATTCTATAATAAACAGGTGTAGTTATACATAGGTGTTTCTTTTATGTACAAAAATATTAGTATTGAGTTTAATTCGTTTAGTGTATTAAAATTTTGTTTTTCTTTTAATTACACGACTATAATACATATTTTGTTTTTATAGATTAGTCAAATAACTTTTAATATTTCATCTAAGAATTTTATATGTCATCAGTTGTTCAAAAAATCACAATTTGGGCGATGAGGTCGTTTAACCCGATTCTTAGTTGCACTACT